ATAACAACATGTATCATTATAATACACATCACCACTTCAACCAAAACCAGGGTTATGGATAAAAACCATATTCAATGCCTCGCCCCTAGTTCTTCGTGCACTTGCACATGCTTCACATGGTTTTTTTAATGACCGCAAATTAAGTTTCCATAATTATTGTTCTTATTTTATTTAGCTAAAGCATTCATTATCCTTTTTAAAGCGCCATCATATATATATATATTCTACTTTTTGTCTTAGAGGAGGGTCCTTTAGCCACATATATTGCTTGTTCTCTTCCACACAAACCATGTCGAAGTTCATTAAATTATAGCTTAATGATCAGATTAAGCAGAGGTTAGCTCGAACTAAGTTAGAATAATAATAACAACACATCTGAGCATAGGAAACAAAAAATTAATATGAGAGAATCCACTTTTACTCCCACCCCCGCTTTTCTAACACAAACTTGTTACGTGTCATCGTCATTATCCATTATTATAACAAAAAATAATAAATATTATAATATTTATACTATTCTTATACTCCTAGATACAAAAAAAGTGAGAACCATAAAAAAACTCATAATTTCTTTTTTTTAATTTATCAAAAAATTAACTTTTTTGTGTGTAGGAGTATAATAATAATATAACTCATATGTATAGTTATCTCTATTCTTGTTATAATAAATTAATGCCGAATGTTTTTTTTTTTTGACGATGAAAACAATGGATGTACCCTGTTCATTAAGTAAAATTAAAATAACAAGTATCTTTACAAAAAGAAGGATACGAACTGTATCCTTATATATAAATTAGTAGATAGAAAATAGAATTTCCCAATCTAGGGATGTATAACCTTTCTTCTCCTAGATATCCATGAAGATGAAGAGATGTCATTGACGTCATTCACCGTTGACATAGATATAAAGGAGAACCAAAGCCGGCCATACATATAATATTAGGAAATTAAATTTTCTATAAACTAATTAGAAAAACCAAAAAGACTGATTACAAAAGTTTTATGAGATATGAACATACTACTTCCAAAACCCACTTGAAATTTTCAAACACTGCTCCTTCTGATCGGATTTTCCTCTAAAGCTCGTGCTAACTTGAGAGCATTCTTCTTGCTAGCAGATCCTGCCCATTCACATAGAGCTGCAATAGTTGAGTTAATGATAGAATGAACAGAGAAAGATAAGTGTTCAAAGATGACTTTGTTTCTTGAGCTCCATATGAACCAACAAACTGCTGAAAAGATGGATCGCCATATAACACCTTTCTCATTATGAAGAGATTCAACAGATGACAAAAGACCATCGAGAGATGAAGCCCAAACAAAAGGTATGCAATAATCACTGAAGTGTTTCCAAACTTTTTTTGCTGTGCTACATGAAAAGAAGATATGATTGCAAGTTTCCGGTTGAATGCCACAGAAAATACATAAGGAATCACCTTGCCAACCTTTCTTAATGAGATTATCCTTTGTATGTAGACGATTCATAGATAGAAACCATGAAAAAATCTGTACTTTGCTTGGTAAAATAGGATTCCATACAACTTTATGAAATGCAAACATAACACATCTGGTGTTTAAGAAGTCATAGAATGATTTAACTGAAAAGCAACCATTTGAAGTAAAAGACCATTTAGGAACATCGACTTCATTATTCACTTTGAAAGAACCAAGAAGATGTATAAGATCAGATTTGGCTAAGTTTGTAACTAAAGAAATACTTCTTCTTAAAATAGGATGCCAGTGCCATGTATTGTTGAGGAACAATCCTTGACTATGAATAGATACATTAGAGGATAAGGCAAGACTATAAATAGCTGGATATAAACTTGATAAAGTATTATTACCAATCCATTTATCCTCCCAAAATCTGATATTTGTACCAATTCCTAGGGACCATGAAATAAGATGGAGGAAAGCTTCTTTATTTGAAATGATATCATTCCAAACCATAGAATTCTGGCTATTACTGTTAGATAATTGCAGGAAGAAACCTTTCTGACATATAATTGGAAAAGAAAAGCACCTATGAAAGAATCTCTATCTAAGCATTTCCATAACCACTTAGATAATAACGGGATATTAAACAATTTTAGATCTTTCACTCCCAATCCACCTTCTGATTTACTCAGGCATACCCTTTTCCAATTAACCAAGCATTTGAAGGGTTTGGATTGGTTGTTGCCTGTCCATAGAAAATTTTTCCTGATTTTATCCACCTCTTTGATCAACCAACCTGGAAGCTTATGGAAGGACATATAGTATAATGGACTTGTGGAAAGGACAGAGTTTAACAGAATAAGTCTACCACCAAAAGATAAACAATTCCTCTTCCATGAAGCAAGTTTCCTGTTCAAATTATCCAACATAGGTTGCCAATCAGATTTAGCTAATTTGCCTCCCTTTAAAGGTAAACCCAAATATTTGATAGGAAGTTTATCAAGTTTGCAATTGAGAGCTGACGCTAAACAAGATCCCCTGTTTAGGATATTCCCAAAATAAATAAGGGAGGATTTATAATAGTTAATGGCCAAACCAAATATATCTTCAAAGATGTAGAGAAGAGTCTTTAGAACAGAAATGTCTTTGTATGTACTCTTAACAAAAATAAGATTGTCATCTGCAAATTGTAAACTTCTAATGTAGTTGAGAGGTTCCTTAATATGCATGCTAAAAAAACACCCTCTTCCACATTACACATAATCATTTTACTCAGAACATCAGCAGATATGTTGAATAACAGAGGAGAAAGTGGATCTCCTTGTTTAAGGCCTCTATGACATTTAAAAAATTTGGAAGGAGATCCATTAACAAGTACTGCACAATTGGATGAAGAGATAATGTGGTAGATCCATGAGCACCATTTTTCACCAAATCCTCTAGCCTTTAACAAATTAATAAGAAAGCTCCAGCTTATAGAATCAAAGGCTTTAGCAAAATCAATTTTAAACATAGCCACCTCTTTTTTCTTTTTAGAGCAGAAATGGATCATTTCATTAGCTATTAAAACAGAGTCAAGAGTAGATTTTCCTTCTTGGAATGCAGATTGAGTGGGAGCAACCAGATCCTTCATGATAGGAGCTAATCTATTAGCTAAAATCTTCGTAAAGATTTTGAAAATACAATTAATCAGGCTGATAGGTCTGTAATCTCTGGCAGTGGGGCTTGATGTTGTTTTTGGAATGAGAGTAATGAGAACTTTATTTACTCTCTGAAGGGATGAAGGATGTTGACCAAAAAAATTCATAATATCAACAAGATCACTTTTGATTAACTCCCAGAACGTTTGGTAGAAAAGAAAAGAAAAACCATCCGGTCCTGGTGATTTATTAGGATTCATACTAAAAACAACATGTTTAATTTCTGTTTCAGAAAATGTATCCTCAAGAGATGAAAGACTGGGAAGTTGATCAGGGTATAAGCACTCCCAATTAACAGTCATGTTACTGTTATTGGCTTGACCAAAAAGGTTTGAGTAGTAGTCATGAAAAGCCTTGGAGATTTCTTCTTGTTCATAGATCTCAGAACCCAAATGATTAATACTAACTATATAATTAGACTTCTTATGAACAGAAGCAGTTCTGTGAAAGAATGAAGTGTTGGCATCTCCTTCTTTTAACCATTGTATACGAGACCTTTGTGACCAATAGGCTTCTTCCTCCTGGATGATAGATGTATAACAAGATTGTAGTTTTTTCCTTTCAACCAATTCATCTGAAGTCAGGCTTCTGTCTTCTTCAAGTAAATCCAAAGAATTGATTTTAAGTAACAGAGCAGCTTTTCTAGAAGATAAGGATCCATATATATATGTTTTTTCCACCACTTAATTCTCCTCTTTATAAGATTCAACTTCTTAATGAAGATGTCTACAGGATTACCTTCACATCTGAAAGATTTCCAAGAATTCTGAATAAAAGGGACAAATATCATAAATTATTGGAGTTATGAAAAATTACCAATTGTTTATGCTTATTGACTTTCTCAAGAATCATCAAATTTATGTACTGCGTTCAATTATTTGTATCAGAACCTTGCACTAACAAATCCAAAAACATTTATCACTGGGACAAGTCCATATATTTACAAGTATATATTATTATATGATATATTTAGCTAAATACTAATGATATCAATGTCAAATATGGGTGTTTATTTTCAAAATTTTGGGAGGGCTAGGATCAATAGGGCAAATAATATGGGGAAATTTTATATAGAGATTTAATTTTAAATATATTTCTCAGGGGGGCAGTGAAGTAATTGACTCCATTGTATCCATCTATAGATCCGGCCTGCACCTGAGGCTTGCATTTGGATTGAATGAATGAAATAAAGGCCAAGAATCCGCCCCCCACCCCCAAACATTACCACCAAATGCAAAAGAGGAACGTGTGTAATCCTATTTATAGAAGATTATGTGTAGACTAACAGAAAACTTGTTAGGAATATTATATTATTGAGTGCTGTTGTAATCCAAGAAAAAATTATTTTGATAATATTTTTTAAGAAAAGCTTACATGAATGCGTGGCTTATATATATAATACTCTATATGAAGGAAATAGTGGGGCAGTAAAAATTTAACTGAGTGGTGGACATTTCATCCATTTCTCTTGTATTTAGAAGGGTAAAAGTATAATTTTATAGGAGATGCAACTTTTATTTCATTTCATTTCTCTTTCTCTTCTAGCAATTTCTAAAACATGATGTGAGCATAGCATTACAGCTTAGTTTGATATATATTACACTATTTAATGTACTTCACATAGCTATGAAAACTGAGGTTCTTTTCCGGAATAAAATAAAATAAAATAAAATATCTATTTTAATATATGTTCTAATGTAAATATTATTGAAAACATATATTGCTCAATGTAGGAATTTTTAGATCTTGAAAAAAAACCCGAAAAACCACAAACGCAGCAAATAAAATCTCACAAGAATTAAGGTAGAAAACCCTCAACAGGAAAAAATCACGGGATCAAAATCAATCCACTATCACCTCCAAATTATAATCTTTTGCACGGACAAAGACTGTCAAACCCTCTCTCTCTCTCTCTTTCTCTCTACACTTCCTCTTCTTCTTTATTTTTCCTCTAACAATAGAAGGACATATATAGGGAAACCAAAACCCTATTTCTAGCCTAACTTCCTAATTAGAATAAGATTCAAACTCCTAATCATGATGGAACCCAAACTTCTAATCATGATAGATCTCTAACTCTATCTAATTCTCATAAAGTTCTACAAAGAATTAAAAACACTATACTAACTTGGAGTTTGAGTTGATACCCAACATATCCTCCCTCGACGAAAAAATCTCCAAGTGTCTCAACAGCTTCAGAAAAACTCACTCTCTTCATCTTGTTCTTCACCTCTCCCTTGTGGACAAGAGTCTGAGAAGAGTAATTTACACTATTAACGGATCGCTCATCTAAATAGCAAATATGGTTGCTATTCTTCCTCTCTCACAAAATCAAATCATCATCTCTATACACATTGCACCACTCTCCTTCACCCACATACTTGTAACCACGTATGCCATCTCACCCAACGAAATTAAATTAGCACCATGTTTGGTGGAAAATTTGTAGTAAAAAGAATAAAAGAAAATTGACTTGTATTCTCTCGATCTTAATTACAATTTGAATTCCGATTACAAAAGAGAGGAGAATGATCTGGATTCTTCCCTTTGTTTAAGTCTGGGTTCTTCATGGTGGTGATGGAATGCCTTCCTTGAATGCTCACGTCGAGTTTGCTCTCTGTTGATGATCCGAACGTCTTGATTCACTAGAACGTGGTCTTCTCCTCACGATTTGACGTTGTGGAGAACTTGCGTGGTAAGTTTTAGAACTCTGAACGAGTTTGAAACTCTATGAAAGAGTTGATTTAACCGAAATTGGTTTATAAGCCAAGGATGAAGAAAGCTCCTGTTGCTGATCCCCAAACCTCCAGGAATTCCCCCAAAAAGCTAGCTGAAGATCTCTTCTTTGCTGCCCAAAAAGAAGGATCAATCCCAGAGCCAAAAATTCAGCCTGAACTCAATTGAGTTTCTCACTATTTATAGGGGATTAAGGGGTATAACCACCCTCTTAAATTGCTCCTAAGTGGGGCTGAATAGGGTGTAATCGCCCCCTTAAACAGCTCCCCAAATCGTGACAGTTTTGAAACCGTTCAGCTCATGTTGAATGAGTCAAACAATGTTCAGTTGGTGTTCAGGACCCTAACTCCGTGTTTTAGACTGGAGACACGAAGTTGGGCACCCGCTGGATGTTGAAAAACGCGAGGGTCACCCGCATTTTGTTTGCTGAGGGTTGGAAACGCGGGGGTCGTTTGCGTTTCAAGAACTAAAACGCAAAGGTGAATTCCGCGTTTTAGAAGGAGCTAATGACTTATAACTTCTTCTGTAGAGCATTGTAAAGACCATTGTTGAGTGATCTTCGCCTTGACTGCTCAAAAATATGAGAGTTGTCAGATTGTAACTCCCGATATTGATTGTGAAGGCTGTTGATTAGAGCTTTCATCAGTTATTATGAAGGTCGTCAGATTGTAACCTTCATCGATCTACGTGAAAGTTTTTAAATTGTAACATTCTGGAAGTCATCAGATTGTAACTTTTATCATTGGTGTTTGATGGGGGATCAACTATCTGTTATAATTTTTAGACAGCCTACACACCACATGATGGCACATATCTCACATGATAAAGAATTCTGACCTTTCCAGTATGAAGCTTGAGACGAACACTTTCAACACCTTCAACCTTCATCTTCTTGTTGTTTCCAACAATCACGTCATCAAATTCTTCATATGTCTTCAATGTGTTAATATAATTTTTTTTGTTGCCAACGTGCATAGAGGCTGCAGAATCTAGCACCCAAGTGTTACTCGCATCAGTACATGTACTCTGCATCAATAAAACCACATCTTCATCATACACAACCACCAAGGAGTTCGTCTTCTTCCCATTTCTTGAAGCTTCATCTGTCTAATACTCTTCAAATCATCACGAATATGAGAACATTTGAACTAAATGTGACTCTTCTCTCCGCAATAATAGCACTCCTTTTCGCTGTCGTCTCGGGCCTGAGATTTTGACCTTCCTCGATAACTATCGCATCTTCCCTTACTCCTCTCTCGATTAGAACTTTCAAAAGCTAGTGCACTCTCACCACCATTAGATACGCTCTTCTTTCCCATCATTATTTCATTCTCACGTAGGAGTGTTGTCACATCGTCGAACTTTAAAGTCTGCTTCCCTGTAATTATCATCTGAACTAACGGTTTGTACGACTTCGGTAAGGAAGATAATAAGAGTAGTGCATGCTCTTCTTCTTTAATCTCCTCATCAATATTCATAAGTTGGCAAACTAGCTGATTAAAGGCATTGATGTGGTCTTGAATTGCAGTACCTTCTTCCATCTTCAACGAATAAAGCTTCATCCTCAAACACAATCGGTTGGTCATCGACTTTGATGCATAAATCCCCTCGAGCCTTTCCTACAGCCCTCTTGGTGTGGTCTCTTGCATAACATTGTACTTGATCTCGGAGGCGAGTCTGATGTCTTTTGATGCCTGATGATCATCTTTAGTTGATGATGGTATGTGATACACAAGAAAAAATGTTAGATTGATGATGGTGAGTTGTGCACCAATGCCCCTCCGATGCCTAAATCAAACTTATGATAATATAGTCAAAGTAATAGGTATATAGGTAAGGATTTTAGAGGAGGAATATCATGGATTGAAGGTCGGCGGTGTGAGCCTAGTAATTGTATTAGAGATCCTCTACTGTAGATAGGAGGGCGTATTTATACTAATTGCTAGGGCAACAGCTACACGTGTCACCAACCTGACTGTTAAGGTTGTTATGGTATTTACTTGGCATGTAAGCAAATTCATGTGGCAGTACCTCATTGGTAGGATGACTGGCATATGTGTAGATCAAGTAAATTATGAAAGCTAGCAATTAAAGTACTCGATTGATATCTCTTGATATAGCATGTTGGAGATATGATATGATCCAAATCAATCATCTCCAATTAGATCAACCGCTATAATTAAAACCAAACCGAGTTCGGATGAAGCATAGCAACTGAATCGAGATGAGTTCGATTATTATAAACTTTTATCGCCATATCCGAGCTTTCAAGTGAGGCCCGTGGGCCATGATTGGATTATAAGCTGAGTGTGAATGTCTCCTACTTTAGTGGGTTAGGTTAGTTACCTGGTTGACTTGGTCATCGCAGAGTTAAATGTGAAATCTTAATAATATGAGTTACATGTATGAAAGGGGATGAATGCTCCGGTCCGAAGGACATAATCAGAGCCGGTTGGGGGTTTGACATATTTTGGCCTTCTTTTTTCTTCAAAATAATGTGGAGGCTTGTAAACATTTTTTTTTTATAAATAAAGTTATAAATGAAATGTAGGACAAAATATATACAATTCTCTATAAGAAAAGTCATATAGTAATACAGGACAAGTGACCGGATATCAACTTTAAAGTTGTTTATCGTTTTAAGTTTTATATTCTTTGCACTTATTAATTTTTTTCCACCCTTTTTAATCGTGTGAACTGATTAATTTTATATATCATCTGTATTAATTTAAAATTTCTATTAAATCGCATAAGGAGTAAAAATTTCTCATCTTAGCTCGTTTGTGAGCAGACTGTTCTGATGCATATAGCGAAAATTAGAAGATTGTTTAGAAACTCCATCATCTTGTAAGAATCAAACAACTATCGTGCAAAAGGTAATAGTGTTCACGATATTCTGAACAGATATGATATTTAGATATACATTAACTTCTACCTTTTTGTTTGGGATTTTATAGAGGGCTGTCTATAGTGTTTTTTTCGTCACAGAACGTGCCGCACAAACTCATCACTTCTTTTATGTAAAAAAAATCTTATAAAAAGAAACAAATAACTGATACATCTCACTATCTCAGAAAGTACCCCACGAACCCAATCCATGTATTAAATTAGCAATACATAAATACCAACCATTAGACATTTGCACGCTATTTTTGATGCATGCATGTTTAATTTTATAGACCGGACCCCCTAATACTTTTTCCATGCTTAAGATAGATTTTATAGTTATTTGGTCAGTAAAGGCGGACGTGATACCATCATACAAGTCCCAACAAAAAGGATAAAAAAAACTAAAATTAAGTGTCCACTAAACGCTAACATTAGAACTCCTGATTAGCGTTCATTCTATTTAGAGCTTTGCTACAGGGACCCAAAATATGGGACCAATAAGGAGAACAAGTGAGATGCCCTCTTCTATTGGATAATGAGTTGGACATCATTAATGGTGGTCAACTCATTATCCAATAGGAGTGAGACACCTCACTTGTCCCTCCTATTGGTCCCATATTTTGGGTATTTAAGTAATTTTTCTTCTATTTATAAGAATTTATCCCCTTAAAACGCGAGACCCAGCAGGCATGCACTAAACGACACCACAACCGGGTCCCAGAGTATAAACAAGTTGCCGTCAACAACAACTTTGGTCCGCACCCCACTATTCGTACTCGAAAGTGCCACGTCATCAGAGTGAGCACAGCTTGTCCACAGGCTTAGTTCCACAATAGTAAGCACGGTGGTCCAGCAATCAAACGCCCAGCTTTGTGGTCCGACTCCGCTCCGGAATTATTATTGTCTCTTGTACCCGTCCAATGATCATCGGACGGCTGTTATCGCTGGGCCCACCGTCTCTGACTGCTCCGGGGTCCGAACAAACGTACAGCGGGTCTGACAGGTGGCGCCCCGAATCCGACCCGACAGAGAATAAATGTGACCTGCGACATATTTATTAGCTGAGAAAAAGAAAAAGGGTAAAAAGTCATGAGAACAGGAAAATATCTCAAAAGTCCGATGGGCCATACAAAGGTAAAGAGATTATTTGGAGTTTTGATTTGAGCTTTGGAGAACCCAAAATATGAGACCAATAGAAAGACACGTGAGGTGTCCTCCTCCTATTAGATAATAAACTAGTCATCATTAATGATGACCAACTCGTTATGCAATAGGAGGGGGACACATCACTTGTCCCCCTATTGGTCTCATATTTTAGGTCATTGGGGAATTTTTCTTTTGATTTTATGAGAACTGGCCACAGACGAACAATACAATCCGGGTCGTTCATAGACAAAATAGAGAGGCAGTTTTGAAAGTTCATTGCCCTCTTTATCGGTCACAACTCCCTATATCCACGTGGAGAGTTCTGATAGGATGGATAACCTATTCGTATTGATATTTAGTAACTCTATATAGGACATCTTTCATTACGGTTCAATATCTTTGTGAATAATCTTCGGTTAAAAGGAAACTAGTATTCCGGTGCATGCGATGCGTGCATAAAACAGTACGCTTGTGTATGATAAAAATACTTTCAAACTCTAATTTCTTGTATAAACTATGAGATCCAATATAGATGAACAGAGATAAAATATTTGCATAATTTAAATGAAGGAACTCTGAGCATTCACAGATCTGAAATTTTCAATTTCTTTTTGTGGTGCTCAATAGTTTAAAAGAGTAATGGATTTTATTGCATTTGGTAATTGAACATGCAAGGACTGGTGGGCTAGGTAAGAGAGCTTGGAGAATGTTAATTAGACCTTTTAAATTTTGCCCTAAAATTAACTTCCAAGTTGTATATAAATTTTGAGGGTATTATTATGTTTTTTTTTAATGAAGCTCATAGGACCAAAAGTCTGACTTCTCTTAATTATAGTAATAGATATAACTTCCTATTTAACAAATAAATGTTTTGATAATTAGTAAGTGCCAAGTCTTTTTCCCCTCGCTATGTTTAGTAAGTGCTAAGTTATTTGTTACTTATTAGTAATATAAAGAAAAAAAATGTTGTTGATTATAATAGATCAATGATATATTTTCGATATGTATTATATAAATAAATTACATGGTTCAGATGCGCATACTATTGTTTTACACGCATCATTTCCTTGCATATAGTTTTAAACACGATTTGCTAGTCATTTGCTATTTTTTTTGTAAATTTTCAGTGAATGGTTAATGTCGTAAAATCCTCTAAATTTCTAAGAATATTTTGGATCGATGATCATTCTGAGCTTTTTTTTATACTTCACATAACATTTTTAAACTTTGAGGTGTCTCACAAATTTCCCATGATCTTAATTCACATCACCTCATACATCTAATTTGCAAATTACTAAAAGTTTCTTGAGATGAAAAAAAATTCAAAATTTAGAGAAAAGATTATACTATCTATGGATATTTTTTAGGGAAAAATGTGTCAAGGTCCCAAAAAAATAAAGTGATTGTGGACAGGCCCCCCATATTATTTTTGTGTGACAAAGCTCCCAATACATGAAATAGTTATGTTTCAGACCTTATTTTCTTTTCCAAGACAACACAGTGAGATTTATTTACGAATACCCTAAAATGCCCTCAACCCATTCTCCCAAAACTTGTCTACCCTCTCTCTCTTCTCTCTTCCCACGCTCAAACTGTTGTGCCTCTGAAGCTGTGTCGAGGAACCAAACCAAACGCCAATCCAAGAGAGCCAAACGAACCAAATATCAATGCACAAACAAAACACCAATTTTAACGTGGTTCGGCAAGTTGCCTACGTCCACGGGGCAAGGGGGGATGGAGTTTTAACTAATAGAGAAAGAGTACAAACTGAGATTACAATACGCTCAAAGGAACAAACTAATCTCACCACAAAGCTCTTAATCTCTCCAAATAAAACCCTAAACAAATAGCTCAAAAATACCTCTTTTTGTGCTCCAAATAGCCCCCAATCAATGCTTAATCAAAGCCTAAACCAAGCCTAGGAAACCCTAAAAAACGTGTCTCTATTTATAGCAAAACACAATCTCAAACTGATTGGGATTCTAAAAACGAGTCTGCCACACCCTGCACCGTGGGTGTGGCAGAGGGTGTGGTGCAGGACAGATTCTACCACACCCATGGCAGACACCACACCAGGGTGTGGTGGAGTCTGTTTTGAGTTATTCTTCATGTTTTTCACAATTCCTTCGCCGTTTTCACAATTCTCCACCTCGGCGAAGTGTTCCCAACACTGAGCCGACACCAACCAAAACAAATGCCTCACTTGTTGCATCCAGTACGCCACGGCAACGGACTCATGACAACGGACTCCATCCACACAAGTCGAGACCCAAACGGGAGTGCGAACACTCACCCAAACGTCGGTATCTACTCACCAAATCGGCTGCATCAAAACTGACTGCCTACGTATCCTCTTGCCCAAGGAATCAAGCCTTCACGTAGTTCACCCAAACGGCCTCCAAAGGCCCTCAAACAAATAGAAAAGTATGCAACTCTTCCCCAATATCGCCGACGGATCTGTAACTGATAGCGGCCCCAAACTGATACAAATCAAATACCTCCATCT